TTCATTGGCTTTTTGGACCTCTTTTGCCATTTGGGTTAGGCTATTTTTTAAGGTGTTATTTTCTTCAGTATTTTTTTGGGTCTCCTTTAGCAAGCTGTTGACTTGCTTTTCATGATTTTCTTGCACCACTCTCATTTCTCTTCCCAGTTTTTCCTCTACTTCTCTAACTTGCTTCTCAAAATCCCTTTTGAGCTCTTCCAAGGCCTGGGACTGATTCATATTTTTCTTGGAAATTTTCAATGTAGGAGCTTTGACTTTGTTTTCTTCTTCTGGTTGTATGTGTTGATCTTCTTTGTCACCAAAGTAAGATAATATAGTATGACTCTCTTTTCGCTGCTTGCTCATGATCCCAACCAATTACTTAGTGAGTTTTAAACTCTGTGTTAAGGTAAGAGTCTGTTTCCAATGTGGAGAATGTACTGTCCCAAGCTTTGGAGGTTTGTACAGCTGTTTTCAGAGATACTTCTAGGGACCTGAAAAGTGTCACTTCCAAGGTGCTATGATAAGGGGCGAGGTGTTTCCTCTCCACCACCACAACGAGCTCCACCACCCCAGCGCTCCTCATCACCCCTCAGAACTGTGACCCAGATCCAAGCCCGGGCAAAGCAAGAGATTCCTGCCTCAGCACTGGCAAAGAGAACCCTGCAATGATCAGCCACTCGATTCCCCCTCAGTCTGTGGGCCAGAAGCTCAGAAGGCAACCACTTCCCTCGGGGGTGGCTGAGATCTAGCTTCTTCTCTCACTGTTGTAACAGACTTTTCCCACTGACCTTCTAAGTTGTCTTTGGCGTTCGTGGGTTGAGAAGTCTGGAAACCGCCACAGCTGCCTTTGATTCAGTCCTCTGAGGCCTGCTCCAGGGTTGCTGCAGCCTGCGCGCCCATGCCGAACCTCTCTCCTCTCCCAGCCCAGCGCGATCAGACCTTTCCGATCAGCCATTCAGGTTGTCTTGGGCTGGAAATTTGTTTCAGTCTGTTTTTTTGTGGGTTCTGCCACTTTAGAATTTGTTTAGAGCCATTTTTTTTACAGGTATTTGGAGGGGTTTGGGGGAGAGCTCTAGCAAGTCACTGCTTTCCCTCCACCATCTTGGCTCTGCCCCCACCATTTAGTATTGTTAAAAAACAGAGAAACAGATCAATGGAATAGACTAGATAGGGAAAATCAGAAAGAATGGAACTCAGTAATCTACTGTTTTATAAACCAGAAAATATAAATTACTTAGGAAGTCCATTTTTTTTTTTTACTGCAATAAAAATTGCTGGGGAAACTAGAAAACAGTCTAGCAAAAATCAGGCCTAGACAAACATTTTACACCATTTTCCACAATAAAATCACAATAATTATGTGCCCTTAATGTTAAAGATAACACCATAAAATATTTAGAAGAGAAGCAGATTATATATCTTTCAAGCTATAGAGGAGTATATTCTTAACTAAACAACAGATGAAAGCAATTGCAAAAGATAAAGACTTTGATTACATGACACTAAAAAGCTTCTGTAGAAATAAAATTTATATACCTAGGATAAAAAGAGAAGGGGTAGAATGGGAAAAATCTTTGTGTCAGATTTTTCAAATACTGTTAGGTATCCAAGATATGTATGTACACTATATAGATGTGTGTGTATGTATATGTATATAGTGTGTGTGTGTAAAACCAATTTGCAATAGATAAGTTGTCAAAGGATAGGAATAATTTTCAAAAGAATTGCAAGCTATTAACATCCATATGAAAGAATACACTAAATCACTAATAATAAGAGAAATGCATATCAAGACAACCTTGAGGTTTCACCTTACATTGGCAAAGATGACAAAAGATAGGAATAGTCAGTGTTGGAGGTGTGGGAAAACAAATAAACTAATACATTGGTGGACCTGTGAATCAGTGCAACCATTTGAAAAGCAATTTGGAATTATACAAATAAAGTGATTAAAGTCATATCCTTTGACCCAGAGCTTCTACTACTAGGCATATATTCTGAGGAGGTCATTGATAAGACAAAAGCAAATATCAAAATGTTTATAGCATTACTTTTTGTAGTAGTAAAGAAGTGGAAATGAAGTAGATGCCCACTAAATAGGGAATGGCTATACAAACTGTGGTACATGAATGCAATAGAACATTACTATGCTATAAGAAAGGAAGAACATGATGACTAGAGAAACATGTAAAGATCTAGCTGAACTGATGAAGAATGAAATAAGCAGAGCCAAGAAAACAGTATACACGATGACTGCAGTGACATAAATGGAAAGGAAAACCACAAAATAGATGAAAATATTCAAAATAAAAATAAAAAGAATAAGCATGACCTGAAATAAGATGTTGGAGAAAGCATCTCCCCCAAAATCTTTTGCAAAGGTGAGAAGTCTACAGGTGTGGATACTGCATATGTTTGATGTAGTGTTTGGTTTTGCTGATTTTTCTCTTTTTTATTTTTCTTTGAAAAATATTATTTGTTATATATCATGACTCTCTAGGAGGAGTGAGGTAGAAGAATACTGGAAGAAATTCTGATCATGTAAAAAGCAAAAGGTTATCAATAAAAATATATTTTTTGAAACAGGATATCAATAAAAATTTATTTAAAAAAAAAAAAGACTTTTCTTGTCCTAAAGAGAAAAATAGGGAAACTACACTATGTGTCAGCCATATTATTCAGTATTGTTTTAAACTGTTTAAAATAGCTAAACAGTATAAAATACCTAAGAGTATACCTGCCAAAACAGACACAGTAACTATATGAATATAAACATAAAACATTTCTATACAAATAAAGTTAGATCTAAGTACTTGAAGTAATATTTATTTTTTATGGGTAGGCAAAGCCAATATAATTTTTTAAAATTACATTTTCAATAACTAATCTATTTAAATAATGCCATCCCAATTAAATTACTAAAAAAAACTATCTTACTGAGTTAGAAAAAATAATAACATAGTTCATTTAGAAGAACAAAAGGTCAGGAACTTCAAAGAAGCCTTTATAAAGATGTAAAGGAAACATATTCAGTAGTATCACACCTTAAACCATATTGTAAGGTGAGAGCATTGTTGAAGTGTAAAATGGATAATTTTGATTATTTTAAATTAAAATTTTCTTGTATTGGGTAAAACCTATGTATCCAAGAATAAAAGGAATGCAGAAATTGGGGGAAGATTTTCATAGCCAATCTGTCCAGTAGAGTAATTGAGTTGTAGTATTGCTGTGATATAAGAAATAAAAAGCTGGTTGATTTAGAAAAGCATGGGAAGACTTGGATTTAGGAAAGATGATGCAATACACCTTCAGATAAACAGATGACAAGTTGAAATAAGCATAGTACAGTCTTCCATATGTGTGTATATGTGCATGTTTATAGATGTGTGTGTGTATGTGTGTGTGTGTGTGTATCCACGCTTAATTGTAGCCTTCTGGGTGAGGGGAGAGGAAGAAGAAAAAATAAAGTAAAAAATGAAGTAGAGAACAGAAGAAAACCTACAAGGAAGCAAAGAAAAGCTGGACAGCTTTGAAAACAGTGTGTGGTATTTATTAAATAAATTTTCTTGAAATGAAAATTTATTGCTTTATATTGAATCTTCTCTTATGTTCTGCTGTATAGATGCAATTTTTCTTTTTCCTTATTTTGTGCTTAGGTTTAAAATAACCCCCCCCCCCCCGGCAGATTTATTTTTTTTTAATTAATTTATTTGTTTTTAGTTTTCAAATTCACTTCCACAAGATTTTGAGTTCCAAATTTTCTCCCCATCTCGTCCCTTCCCCCACCTCAAGATGGCATGCATTCTGAATACTCCCTCCCCTAATCTGCCCTCCCTTCCATGCCTACCCCCTTTCCCCTTCAATTTTCCTGTAGAGCAGGATAGATTTCTATACCCCATTTCCTGTATAACTTATTTCCCAGTTGCATGTGTAAACAATTTTTTTTTTAATTTGTTTTTAAAACTTTGGGTTCCAATTTTCTCCCTTTCTCCCTCCCCCCCCACCCTCATTGAGAAGGCAAACAACTCAATACAGGTTACACATGTAGTCATGCAAAAACACTTCCATAGTAGTCATGTTGTGAAAAACTAAGTATATTTCCCTTAATCCTATCCTGCCCTCCATTTATTCGATTCTCTCTTTTGACCCTGTCCCTCCTCAGAAGTGTTGGCTTCTGATTATCCCCTCCCGCAATCTGCCCTCCCCTTTCTCATCCCCCTGCTCTCTTGTCCCCTTCTGCCCCCGCCCCCCATTTTCCTATAGGGTAAGATAGATTTCCATACCCAAATGAGTGTGTATGTTATTCCTTCCTTAAGCCAAATCTGATGAGAATAAGATTCACTCATTCCATCTTACCTTCTTTCCCCATTTCCCCTGTACTATAAAAGCCTTTTCTTGTCTGTTTTATGTGAAAATAATTTTTTTTAAAGTTGGATATGAAAAAAATAAAATAGGCACCAAAAAAACCTTTATCTGTTTATGTGTATGCATATCTATGCAAATTATCGAATAAGAAATGTCCTTATACAGAGATCACATTACTAATCCCTTTTCATCTTTACATAGTAATATTTTAAGTATTTGTTAAAAATTATCATAAGTAAGGAAGTTCAGTTAGTTAAAGGAACATGATGCTAATGTATAAAAATAGATATTAGAAAATAGATATTAGGTCTTTACTATTATGTACAGTTTATAAAGAAAGTTTAGGTGTTTTATGTGCACCCAGTTTTTTGTCTTTTACAACAAGCTCATGTAGATAAGACCTTAAAATTTTTGGCTATTTCAAAAATTTTCATTTCATACAACTTTAAATTGCTTAGCATATGTTACAAGAATGGTAACTGTATACATCATACCTATGGCTTTTGAGATAAATTTAACAGCTTTGGCTTCAAATAATCAAATATTTTCTGCTAAAAATGGGACATTTACCTTTTCCATCAATATTTTCTTTCTATAGTAAAGAAATGGAAACTAGAAATTTACCAAAATTTATCTTTTTGTCTTTCTGCTAGGAGAGATGTCTTGGATGACCTTGTGACATTGCACAATTTTAGAAATCAGTTCTTGCCAAATGCACTGAGAGAGTTTTTTCGACATATTCATGCCCCTGAAGAACGTGGGGAGTATCTTGAAACTCTTATAACAAAATTTTCACACAGATTCTGTGCTTGTAACCCTGATTTGATGAGAGAGCTTGGCCTTAGTCCTGGTAAGAATTTCCATAATGAATTACTACTTTTTTCCCCTTGGTATGTCATAAAGTCTCACCTCCCAACTAACTAGAAGCTAAAGCAGGTAAAAATGTTGTCAAAAAGTTTAGTTTTTATAATAATGAACGTTAAGATTGGTTTGTAGTCACAGCTTTCTCAATATAAAGCTTTACATGCCTTATTATTGCCTTTTTATATGAAATCCAAGTATTTCAAAACAATGAGAAAACTAAATTGTTATAAAAATATCATAGGATGCTATGCTCTTTTGTAGATTGTATTGGGGGAAATTTTTTTCTCACTTCAAGTATTCTATAACTCTAGTCTTTTTAAGTAAAAGTACCTGGCCCTGAGATATATTTCAGTCATGAGGAACATGTAGTGCACATGCACAGTAGATGGAGAATGTGTGTGAGGAACACCAAGAAGGGTACTGCCACTTGATCATAGAGTCTGCAGAGGAGAGTAAGAAGATTTGAAAGGGTCCAGGTTGTGAAAGAATCTAAAAGCCAAACACATGACTTCATATTTGATCCTGGTTGTAATTGAGAGCCACTGGAGTTTTTATGAAGTAGGAAAGTGACATGGTTATACCTGCATTTTAGGAAAATCATTTTGGCAGCTATTTGGAGGATGAATTGGAATAGGGAGAGACTTAAGTCAGGGAAACCAACCAGAAGAGCTTTGTAATTGTTCAGGCTTGAGTGATAAGTACGTGAAACAGTGCCTTTCAGTGCCTGTGACTTAAAATTAATGTTTCTATGTGATCGTCAGGACATTTCTGGTTGCAGGCCAAAGGAGATCTTGTTCACTTTATTTTTTTTCCACTTAAGTATGTTTAAATCCGTTTTGTTATCTTACAATGAGTCAAAACTCATATTGGGAAATAAGGATGATAGTACTTATAGGCTTTGTGAGTTATATAAAGGATGTATGCAGTGCTGTGTTTGTAGGGGACATAGAAACAGAATTTTAGAGGTAAGCAGCCTGGTATAATGGAAAGAATGGTTTTGGAGAAAGTACATCTTTGAGAAAATTGAGACCTAGAAACACTAAGCAATGTGTCCAAGGCCATAGAGATAGAATGGCAAGTGCATTTCCCACTCAAAATTGATCATTGTTAGACTCATTGTTGTGTCATACCTGCAATTGGAATCACTTTATCTAATTTCTGAAAGTAAAATTTTTATAATGATAGAAATAGCCACTTAACCTGCCATTTCTTCCAAAGTTGAAAGATGATTCCAGAATACAAATGACTCTTTTTTGTATGCTTAAGCATTATATAACAACTATGATCAGTAAAACTGACCTTCTGATACAAGCTTTTATAGACGTCATTATGTCAGAAAATTAAGTTGATACCTCAGCAAGTGTCTTTCTTTTCTTTAGTAAATGTAATTGTTTGCATTTGTATAGCACTTTAAGTTTTGTAAATTCCTTTCCATATATATAATATGTATACACACATTATATATCTCGTCTCATTTGTACTGGAGTGACATAGTAAATTGCCAGTGAGAGCTAATATTCAAATGTATTAATTCCTCAAAGCTGCTTGATTATTTTGATGGCATAGAAATTACTTTTGTTTCAGCTTGAGAACTTACGCCACTCTAAGTTATGTTTACGTGATAAACATCTAATTGAAAACTGAAATTAAGTTTTAAAAGTTAAGGAAAAGAGTTTCCAGATACTCAACTGAGTGGCACCATATAGAAAACATCTGGATTTTAAAATTAAATTTCCATTTTAATCCAGCAGTGTCATTGTATTATTATAAATTTGCAATGTAATTTCTCATCTGTCTTCTTTTTCCATTCTTACCCCCAATAATTTCATTGTTTCTCTTATTAAGAATAGATGTCCTATAGCTAGTTACTTATCAGGATTATGTGAAATGTTCTCAATATTGCCCATACCTATAATGTCTATTGAATGTGTTTTTCAAAGAATATTTAATATAGATGTTGTGTACACATGTATATATTTTTAAAGCATATGGAAATGCTGAATTTCTACAGCCACTATAATATTAATGATGTGGAACCAATTGTCTTGACCATTACGTATTTCAAAATTTTTTTAATGTTATAACACTATATCTATTTTAACAGAACAGTGAAGAAATCTTCCAAATATATTTATAGAGTGACAAATTTACATCAGTAATCTCTTTCATAAATAGAGCATATTTGCACAACAAATCCTTATCATAAATTTTTCTCAATATCAACACATATCAATTTATTTTTGAAAGGGCATTATGGAAATATATTTGGGATGGAAGAATTGTTAGAATGCGTTCAAAGTATGATTTAATTCTCCAATTGATAAATAGTTAAAGATATGAATAGGCAATTTTCAGATGAAGAAGTTAAAGCTATCTATAGTCATATGAAAAAATGCTCTAAATCACTATTTGTTAGAGAAATGCAAATTAAAACAACTCTGAGGTACCACATCACACCTATCAGATTGGCTAATGTGACAAAATAGTTAAGTGATAAATGTTGGAGGTGTGGGAAAATTGGAACACTATTGCATTGTTGGTAGAGTTGTGAACTGATCTAAGCATTCTGGAGAGCAGTTTGGAACTATGCCCAAAGGGCTATAAAACCATACATACCCTTTGACCCAGCAATACCACTTCTAGGTCTGTATTCCAAAGAGATTGTAAAAATGGGAAAAGGATCTACATGTACAAAAATATTTTTTGTGGTGGCCAAGAATTGGAAATTGAGGGAATACCCGTCAATTGGGGAATGGCTGAACAAGTTGTGGTATGTGAATGGAATGGAATGCTGCTGTGCTATAAAAAATGACAAACAGGAAGCTCTCAGAAAAACCTGGAAAGACTTATATGATTTGATGCAGTGAGCAGAAATGAGCAGAACCAGAAGAACATTGTACACAGTAAGAGCCACATTGTGCAATGACTGACTTTCATAAACTTGGATCTTCTCAGCAATGCAAGGATCTAAGACATCTCCAAAGGACTCATGATGGAAAATGCTATCCACATCCAGAGAAAGAACTGTGGAGTCTGAATGCAGAATGAAGCATACTATTTAATCTCTTTTTTTCTTTTGTTGTTTTGTTTTGTTTCTTCTTTCTTGTGGTTCCTCTCATTGGTTCAAATACTTCTTTACAACATGACTCATGTGAAAATATGTTTAATATGAATGTATATGTAGAGCCTATGTCAGATTGCATGCCAGCTTGGGGAGGGGGGAGGTGAGGGAAGGGAAGAAAATTGAAAACTCAAAAGCTTATTGAAGTGAATGTTGAAAAACCAAAACTAAGCAAATAAATTAAAAATAAAAAAGAAATGATGAGCAGGCGAACTTCAGAAAAACCTGGAAAGGCTTGCATGAACTGATGCTGAGTGGAGTGAGCAGAACCAGGAAAACTTGTACACAGTAACAGCAACATTGTATCATGACCAACTTTGACAGACTTAGCTCTTCTCAGCAATGCAGTGAACTAAGACAATTCCAAAACACTCGTGATGGAAAATGCTATCCTCATCCAGAGAAAAAACTATGGAGTCTGAATGCAAATTGAAGCATACTATTTTCTCTCTTTTTTTTTCCCATTGGTTCCAGTTCTTTACAACATGACTAATGTGGAAATATGTTTAATATGATTGTACATATATAGCCTATATCAGATTACATGCTGTCTTTGGGAGGGAAGAGGGGAAGAAGGGGGAGAAAATTTAAAACTCAAAATCTTAAAACAATGAATGTTGAAAACTAAAACTAAATAAATATTTTTTAAAAGTATGATTTATACCATTAATAAATATATAATATGTCTTACAACTGAATGACTTAATATGCATCTTTTGAAAGGAGATATTTAAAAGTTTGAAATTAATTCCAAAACTTTACATTTGAAATTTATTTGTACTGAAAGTCCTTAAAACAGTTCTAAAATTGTTTTTAAATATAAGAAATAGCTTTTCAATTTGTTCTAATCACAGACTATTGACCCAGGACCACATCTTAAAAACTTGTTAATAATTTCTGACATTTCTTTTTTCTCTTTAGATGCTGTCTATGTACTGTGCTACTCTTTGATCCTGCTTTCCATTGACCTCACTAGTCCTCATGTGAAAAACAAAATGTCAAAAAGAGAATTTATCCGAAACACCCGGCGCGCTGCTCAGAACATTAGTGAAGATTTTGTAGGGCACCTTTATGACAACATCTACCTTATTGGCCATGTGGCTGCATAAAAGCACAACTGTTAGGACTTCAGCTTGGAAGGTGAAAACAACTAAAGCTACCCAAGGAATTATTTTGTAGATATGGGGGTTACACTAGTGCTGGTCATTCTAACCTCTGCATACAATCAAGTGTGTGTATACTACCTTTTTTTTTTTTTTTTGTAGTAATTTACCATGGGAACTGAAGGATTTTGCAGAAATTTTTCTTAATTTTACTTATATTTTGCACAAAGCAGAGCCATGACAATGCAGAGTCTGACACAACCATTTAAGAATGTTTAAACTGACATTACACTAAAAAAGTGGTAAATTTGTGCATTTGATTTGCTTCAGCAATCTTAACAGTTCCATTCTTTTATAAAATACCATATAATGTGTACATACTTAACTAAAGAGATTTATAATCATAATTATTTTATTGTATAGTATTTTAACTAAAGTTTTTCCTTTTCTCTCTAAAGTTGAGTTCTCAATTTCTTTACTACTGATCAGAGATTGTGATTGTTTTCCTGAAATCAGATCTGATTTCTGAGTGATTCATCAATAACAATGTTTATTTCATCTTTTTAATTAGAAAGGAGGGAACTAATTTCTAATTATTTTACATCACATATATGTGTACATACATGTGAGTGTGTGTGTATACATATATGTAGACCCATGATATTAGAGAGACAGCATAGCATAGTGATTAGAGTGCTAATCCTACCTCTAACACATACTGACTCTGTCAACATGATCAAGTCATTCAGCCTCTTACTGACCTAGACAACTCTCTAAGACTATAAATTGCAAATGAGCTGCTATTTAGTATATACGGCAGGAGTTTCCATATTGGAAGTTCTGATGTATAGTGGTGAAATCACCAGTTTGGTGCCACTCCCCCGACTACGTACACACGTGTACACAAACACACACACACACACATGCATACGTGCACGCTCGCAGTGACATGAAGATGCATAATGGGTATAAATGGGTTGTAGCACATTATCAACCATTACTTTCATGCAAGAGTAGTGTGTATGTATGTACATAAAACCACATATGTATGTGTGTGTACATATAAGTATATGTGTATATCTAAAGTTAACCCATAATTACTTTGTTAATTCAACTTCTAAACCACTAGTTAAGCACCTACTTGATGAAGAGTGCTGAGCAGCTAGATACTGAGTAACATTTTTTAATTATATGAGACATGATCCTTACCCTCTTGGAATTTACAATTTAATAGCATTTAAATTTTCTGTTCCATACAGGTACATCCTATGATTTAAAAAAAAAAACAACAAACTTTAACAACTCTAAGATACTATAACATTCTTATTCAGCATAGATTACATTTGTGTTTAAAGGATTTCTTTTCCTCAGCACTTGAATAAATCAGAATAAAGTATTCATTGAGTAGCATAGTAAATCTCTCTTGACTGTCTTTAAAATAATTTGGCAAATGTTACTATCTCCTCTGAAATAGTCTCTTGCCAATGATATTTCAAAAGGAATATAGTAAGTATCACTTCAGTCTGGTTAGGAAGTGAGCTATTCCATTTAATCACATTGTTTTGGTTAATGGTAGGTTATCTATGCCACAAATATATTAGCAGTTCTTAGAAAATTATAATACTTTAAAACAGAAATTATATAGATCACAGCTTAATCACTGATAATTCGATAACTCACTAGAACTGTGTGTGTGTGTGTGTGTGTGTGTGTGTGTGTGTCTTTGTAAATTGAGACTCACTGCTTTAAACATTTCTCCCCCTTCTGTCCCTACCTCCCAAAAAATCTGTATACAAAGGTGAGAGATATCATCCAGGTTTGTAAGAGCACACTTATGGATTGATGAGTATGGGTTTTTTCCTACTTATTTTGGAGGAATGGGAGGGTAGGAAAAAAACATTTAGATCAAAATGGGGAACCTCGGTTGTTGTTGTCCAGATCTGGCCTACCAGTATACTCCATCAACAGTACTTTGATAGATGTCAACCAACAATAAATCAACATTTAATAAGTGCTTCATATTTCCAGGTACTCTATGTGAACTCATCAGTGTGAGTTCTCCCTCCACTGTTGCAAATTACAGCTATTCTAATGCCTTTTCATCCTGTGTACTTTTAACCTGTTTTTGTAGGCCTTCTTAAAGGAAAACCAAGGGCTATCTATCTATTATGTCTCGTTCTTGTTACCTAAATCACTTCCTTCTTTGTTTAGTAAGGCATATCCTTGATGAATTCTTTTTATACCACTTCTTTCAGGCAAGATAATGATTAGTAATACATTGCATACTACTTACACCCATCATGTACTTTTATGTTGCTCCATTTTTTATTCTTCACAGGACAGTGGTATTCTTTGATATATAGTCATGTAGCATCATCAGGAAAATATTTTGTACTAATAAAATAGATTTTGCAATAGGAAGTAAATTGAGATCATTGAAAATTATACATAGTTTCCCCAGTAAAATCCAGTACAATCCTCTCTCTGTTCAATTCTGGACCCAGCTCAGTGTGTCTGCAGGGCCTAGATATATGTACTTGGGTAATATCATAATTTGTGGAATACCCATTCTTCATACTGAATTTTTACTGGGCAAATTGCTAGGCTAATCTCTTTTCAGTGATTGCAGATGATTTAGGTGGACCTATGGGATTGTAGAACTTGAAGCTGATATAGTAGAAATGCACTAACTGTTCAGTCAAAGAACATGAGTTTGAATTCCAATTCTGACATTGGACCAAGTCATATTATCTTCTTAGCCTTCATTTTCCTCATCTTTAATATGAAAAAGTTAAACTAGATGACCTCTTAGGTCCCATCCAGCTTTAGATGTGTGATTCCTATGAACGCAATGTCTTCCACAAACAGGAGCATGTGTAGAACCTGACCATCTATAAAGAATCTCTCTTCCATTTGGATATCTGAAAAACCCCATGGCATGCTCTTGGTGAGCTTATACTGTATCTCCCTATTAATATAAGGTTATCTCTTTTATGATTGGAACATAGCAATTGTATCAGTTTTCCTCTGTTTAGTCAGATGTGCTTTTGTAACCAGTAATCAACAGAATCTTACATAATCAAAATTGTCCAAATTTGTTCCAAGGGACCCCTTGATTTTGTGACTTAAGATATGATTTGTTGTGGAAAGTCATCTGTTAGCACCTTTCTATTCCTTTCTTACATTTTTATCGAGGGTACCCTATACCAGGGGTGAGGAACCTGCAGTCTTGAGGCCACACATGGACCTTCTAGGCCCTTGGGTGTAGCCTTTTGACTCAGTCTAAGTTTTACAGAACAAATTCTTTTATTAAGGAGATTTGTTGTGTGAAATTTGGATTCAGTGAAAAGGCCCCAATTGAGGACCTAGAGAGCCATGTGTGGCCTCCAGGCTGCAGCTTCCCCAACCCTGCCCTATACCATTCTCGTAAAGATTTTATGGAAGTGAGGAAGTAGACAATTGGTTCAGTATTATAGTTGCCTGTATCTTCCCAATCAACATTTTGGTAATGATAAAGATTCTGATCTTTTTTTAGTTCTTTGGAATCATTCCTTCTTTTAAATATCTTGAAAATTGATCCCTGAATGCTTTTAAAGCTGTTCTCTGCTTCAGCATTGATTTTTTTTTCTTTCTATATTGGTCAGGTCGTGGCTACTCTTCTTTACTTTATCCATTTTAAGTGACATTTTCATTTCCTCCATGTACGATGTTGGGTACAAAATAAGAGTTCATATCTGTCTGTGATGAGGGTAGACTTCAGTAGAAAACACTGATATGTTATTTCATTTCACACCTAATTTTTTGCATTCTTACAGTTTTGTCAGTAAGTTTTTTTGGGATGACCAAGCTTAATTGGCTCTCACACCAAGATTTCTCTATCTACCTCTATAACGTTTTAGTTTATATTCTAAATTGGTATTGCTCTCGATTATTTTGTCTCTTTTTTAAACAAATATACGGTCTGGCTAAGGCAGTTTCTTGCCTTGTGGCTACATGGTACCTGCTTTTCTTTAAAGCAGTTAAACCTCTCTAATAAATGGTTATAATAGATCAGTGTCTTTACTTTTTTGTTTGTTTTTGTGAGGCAGTGGGAGGTTAAGTGACTTGCCCAGGGTCACACAGCTATTAAGTGTCAAGCGTCTGAGGCCAGATTTGAACTCAGGTCCTCCTGATAGGCCAAAGCTCTATCCAGTGCACCACCTAGCTATCCCAATGTCTTTACTTTTAAACAATTTGTTTAGATCAGGTTGAAACTGATGTGTCATAAAATGTCTTTTTCATTTTTCCTACTTTGGTTTTGGAATTGATTTTGACCATTTTCTCTAATATGGCTGCACGTAGACAGCTTACTGTGAAATTACTCTCATCAGTGATAACCAATCATTTCCTGTCTATTACAGTCATTTTCATTTTCTTTGATGTTGTTTGGTGTTCATGATTTCTAGCCTCTCCTGACTCTTCCTGAGGAAAATATTTGGGCCTCTAATTTATTAATCTCAAACTCTATCTTCCATTATGTTTTTCATTGTCCGTGCCCATCTTCACAGTGTAATCTTTGAATATCAAGTTTATGTTGACTTGGTTTGAAGAATCTTATATTCTTCATAGAATTTCTCTTCATCCTCTGTAACAGATGTCGGTGCAATATTGATCATATTATTCTCAAATATAACATTAAATCGTTGTGAAAGGAAGCAATTTCAATTTTTCAAAGAACAGAACATGACTGTCAGACAATTTGAATACCAAAAGGACATGGTAAAGTGATGGGCCTCTAAAGTTCTAGATAAGTTTCTAAATATGCCATTTCTTACATGCAAAATTAAGAATTCCATGAGAAAAATAAGCCTGATTACAAAAGAAATGTGAATTTTTTTTTAAATCAACCGCAAATGGAAAGTTCCTTTAGTAAGAAATTCAAAGAATAGTGATTAATGACAACTTACCCTAGTGTCCACAGCCTAGCTGTACAACTAAAGGTGTCGCGGTCTCTTTTTATCCATATTTTCCTCTCTGCCTCTTTCCTCTGACTTCCTGGTTTGTCCTCTTCCTTCTCTCTTTCCTCTCCGTCTATATACCTCTGTCTTCCTCCTTCCCTCCTCTTTCTTTTTATGCTGTTATCAATTTTTATATTTCTCATTTCCGTCATATTATGCTATGCCCCAGCCCCTCAAGTAATTTTCTCTTAACTGGCAGTAATATAAAACCAAAGTATTTTTGTTACCATTATTTATCCCTGTTTCATCTTAGTAGTTGAGAATGATTTACATCTCAAGTTTGAAAGAAATAAAACCTGGGTTTATGCTTCTTCATTGTGTGTGACCTTCAATAGAAAAAAAAGAAAAAGGCTCTTCAACTTACTCTATACAAGAATGATACATACACATATAATTCAGTGACCATATAGTAACTACCTACTGTGTTTGGGGTATATAAAAAACAAACATGAAAATAGCCTCTTCAAGGAGTTTATATTCTACTTGAGGGAAGCATGTACACAGATATATAAATATTCCTGTGGTCTAGACCCACACCTCCATATCCCCAAACTCTAGGGTCACACAAAGCTCTGTAATAGGGGTGGACCTAAAAGATTAATATCATCCTTGCCTTGTTATGCTCATACAGTTTATTCTGTGAAATATTAAGTAGAGATAATTTATCTTTTGTATCTAGGCTTCCAAAAATGCAGGTAATGGACTCCCTAGATCTTACATAAGCAGTAACAAATGAGTAGAATATTCACCTATAGAAAATGAAGATAATGCAAAGGACAGGAGCTTATAAATAGATAAAGGAAACATAAAATTTATTCAGTAGTCCATAAGGTCCCCTCCATGTGAGACAGAATTCTCCCCCAAAGGTCCTATACATCGAGAAGGTATACAGAGTGCTAATATCTTATCTTGCAGTTATATACCTGCATTCCTTAACTCTTACTCATTTTTATCCAAGAAGCAACAACTATATTGGAAAAAGAGGAATTCATTTGAGCCACTGAACATTTTTGAACAGAGGATGATTATGGCCAGAACTTTCACAGAGAAGATTATCCTAACAACTGTATGAAGGTTCTGAGAGAGGGAAGAGAGAACATCTGATGGGCTATTGCAGTTGTCCAGGCAGATGACATTGAAAGTCTTCTAGAGTTGTGGCATTCAGAATAGAGATGAGAGGATAGATCTGAGCTGTTGCTGAGGTGAAGTAAAGATTGGGCAAGTGAAATAGAGGAATCAGGTAATGACTCCAAAATTTCAAACATTTGATACCCAGTGAATGGCAGTGCCACAGACACCCAGATAATAAAGAAGGAAAAGTTGGGAAAGTAGTTAAGCTCACTTCTAGATACATTGAGTTTAAAGCTCAAAGGGATATCAAAACCCAGATATAGGAAATGTAG